CTCACCTTTTTTTTAAAAAAAAAAAAGCCTTCAGGTCTTTTAAAAATTTGGGATGACTGCTGTATTTCGGGTACCACTGTTACACCTGGACCAAGTGTAGAGTGAAAATTGTTATGAAACTTTAAAACTTTTTGTCAAAACCTTTTTGCCTTTTTTTTTTTTTTTTTTGTCACGAGGAATACTTGTAGTTTTAATCACAAAACTGCAAAAGGAGAGTAACTGTCAACAGGTAACTCCATCAGGCAGAAACCTCTTCACTTTTTTGTTTCTGTGAACCATTTTAGTCTTCATAAGATTTGATGGTAGGTTTTTTTTATTGATCATTTTAAGCAACATTTCTTATTTTAGGATTATACTCTCTTGACGTACTCATGATAGATACATTGTATTATGCTTAGATATATTTTTATGTTGTACATAAGAAGCCCAGATGGAATCAAATATATTCCACACAAACATCAGCACTACACTTGCTAACTTATTCATAGATCACAATAGAACTCTGCTATTGACGTTAGTATGAGCAGGAATAGGGCTTGAATAGCTTTTGTTTGAAACATCATGTATATGCTTGAGTTCAATCAAAACTATACTTCAAATGTATTCCAACAGACTTGTATGTTGTAACAATCAGTCTCAACATGTACTTTCTCACCAGTTTTTTTCTGATGAGAATTATTTTTCTTTTCATAGAAATTAAAAACACTTCCTTACACATCTCAAAAGTATTATTCATGTGGTTAACAGCACATAGGGTCAACTGTTTAATTAAAAACAAAAGGAGGTGGGGAATGAAATGTGGTTGCACAGAGGTGAGTTGCTGGGATGCTTATTTATTGAGTTTGGAGGAATTTTGACCTCTGTTTTGTGGTTGCTTTTTATTTCACTGATCTCTGGTTCATGATTATTTTTTATTACACTGCAAAATAGATGAAAGGTTAAAAGTTTGTTTCTTTGCATTTTCCCCATCCTCTCCTCTAGTACCCAGTAAATACTTGTCTAACCACTTCCATAATGCTGACACTTCTGATTATCAATCTTAAATTGCCATTGAATAAAACATATATATGTAGACTGACTCTTAATTAAATCATATATGACCGAACCATACTGTAGGTATGTAAAGAAGCATATTCCATAGTTTAAAGAAAAAACAACACCTGAGGTGATGGAAGAGAACAACACACAATACATTCTTGTCATAAATGCTGTGCAGCAGAATCTGCTTTAATCCTTATGTTCTTGCACTCCCAGGTTATATTATTGTTAAGTGCCAGCATTCTGTGGAATGCTAATATACTATGTCATATAGGTCCTGGTTTATAGACTAGAGTTGTTTGGCTATGATTTGCATACAGAGTGTTTTCTTTTGTATGATATTAGAGGATAATTATAGCTGAATACATACAGAAATGCTAAAAATGACACATTTCAGTGTATTCTGCTGGCTTATATGAATTCCAAACACCCAGGTGTCACCTGACAGTAAGGTACCAAACTTTTTTTAGCTGTTTATGTAACAAGTTTTACATTGGTTATCTGTCATTTTTCATCAAGAGGTGGCATTATTTCATTGATGAAATTATGCACTGACTAAACATTTGGAATAGTGTTTCCCATGAATGACCTGATTCTCTTCATAGATTACAGGTGAGAATTTCAAGTTGGAGCATTTAGCTAAAAGAATCTAGACTTTCAGTTAAAAGCAGAGTTCAGTTTTTCTAATTTATTTTTTTATTACTTGGATCTAACACAGATATGCACAAGTAAATGTGTGTGTGGCATGTACTTATGTAAAACAACAAAGAAGAAATTATCTGCATACCACTTTCATACTTTCCAGTTCTTAAATACTTGGGAAGTTTGTAAACTGCTTTTTAGGCTTGAATTTTCACTTTATTATTTAGAGATAAAACTTATGGGTGGTCTATATATCTATTTTGAGTTGTATTGTATCAAGTATGGAAACTTTCTGTTGCACCAGTCCTAGGTAAATTCAATGTGCTTGCAGCACTGAGAATTGAATAAAGAAAGGTCCATGAGAACTGGAAGCCATAGATGGCAGCTTCCATACTGGTTCATAACAACTAGGTGAACTGGTTTACTTGAGCTGACTGAAGTTAATATTTCTTTTTTAATATACCTAAACCATGAATTCTAAGAGTTTGGTTTTAGTTGTGGTTTACACAGAAATCTTTTTCAGTGAACTATCCCAGTCTAGCCTTTAAACAAGTTTTACTTGAAACCAATTTGTTCTGTAACAATGGGATTAAAAATGTAATTATGCTCAGGACTGGTGATATTTTAAAGACTGCATTAAGTATCTAAACTTTCTTCTGAATCAAAAAAGACAATGAAAATATCTGAATTTTTGTTGGTTTTGTATCATGTGGTTATTTCTAATTTCCCTATTGGATTAATATATAAAATAGTCTTATTTTTTTTTCTGAATAGATTAAGATCTGTATAGCAGTGAATGGATTCACTTTTATCTAATTTTTGTTCTTCCTGGATGCTGTAATATGAAGGTAAAAGATGAAGAATGGAAAGTTAAACCATTGAGAATGAACAAATACTTGTTTTTCCATCTCTTTAAAGAATAATCTTATTAACTAAAATGATAAAGGTTGTAGAGCTTTCAAGGTGGATCATTGTAGCAATGACCTAGTCATATTTGACTCAAGTGGTTTGCTCCAAGCTCTCCAGAAGTCCTTTGCATCTAGTTTTTAAGAGCTGATCCTTGCATTTGTTATGCAAAGGGCAGTAAACCACAAGTTGCTCTTTCTTTCAGTCCCTCCATCTTTTGAGCTATTAATTACATTTCTCTGTTTCTCTGCACCTGGGTGAAGAGTTGTTCTGGCTATAATATAGGAAACAGGTACTGCTAGTGTCTTTTGGTGTAATGTGACTCTGAGACTTGGCAGAACTTTTAACAGTTGGTTTATTGGTGCTGGAAGGACCTAGTGTGGGTCCTCTGTGTTGTCCAGTACCATCACCTCTGGCTTCAGGTTTGTCAGCTGGCATGAACATCCTGCTGTGCTTCAGAAATCCATTGTTCCACCATACCATAGCATCTCAAGGCATAGTAGTAGTAATACTCAAGGGCAATATCACTAGCGTGTTCTTCAGAAAAGCCAATGACCATGCACTCAGCCTTCTGGAAAGGAGAGATTTCTCTAAAAGTATGACCTTCTTTCTTTTTTTAATGTCACCTCTGTGACTACATTCATCATTAATTCCACTACCTGCTTTACTTATTTTTACATGTATCGCTCTCTTTATCCTATTGTAGAAAACTGTAGCTATGTGTTCTCTTCATTGCTTAGAATAAATAAAGAGATGTCTTTCAATTAACATTCAATTTATAGGAGCAATGATTTCACTTAAAATTTTTTTTATCAGTAGATCATTAAGTACAAATTGTTGTTACTTCCTCTGTTAAGACCTGTTTGCTGTGATCCAAGCCTGTGAGTTGTATTTTCATTGTCCTTTATTCCTATAAAGGTTAAAGGATTGGATCAAAGGGAAGTTCTTTCAGCTCTGCCAGACATTAAGAACTTCTGTCCTCATTGCTTAGGTGTTTTGACAGGATTTCCTCCTTCACTTCAGACTCTGTTCCTATCAAGCATGTTGTCATACTGGCCACCTGCCACTTTCCACCATTCACAGGTTGCAAAGGACAGGGTGAAAGACCCTTTCTATTGAAACCAAATTTGCTGTGAGGAGAATTTATTCTCAGTATCAGTAGAGAGGTCTGTCCTTCATATTTTCTCCTTAGAAGGTGTCTGGGCCAGGTGGTATGGGCAATATCTTCCCTCTGGAGATGTTCCTTTGGGTCAATTGGTCTCAGGTGCAGAAAATCCTGGATAAAGAATAGTTTTAAGACTGAACACCCTTGGACTTCTTAAGCCAGAGCCTTTTCAAGCTGTATGAGACATTTTAGACTGAGACATGTTTATAGCTATCCTTTGTGAAGTGATGTAAAATAAAATCACCCTTGCTGTCCTTGAAGGGTATAGACAACTGAAATGTTGTATTTTCCATTTTGGTACCTTTTTGGAAATAAAAAAAAGGCTCAAAGAAAGTGAGCATTGCAGTTACAAAAGTCAGTGCTGCACACAGTGGTAATCCTTACTTACAGAGCATCTAAACAGGGGTCAGCATTTAGATGCTGATATATGAAGCACAGTGCTCGTATAAAGTGCTGAATTTTGTGTTGGTGTTGCATTGCTTCAGTCATTATGCTGAAAACACCGTTATGAAATTTCTTTGTATAAAAAATAAATAGTTGTTCTGAGCCTAAAATATGAAGTACAGAAGTTAAAATTTTCAAATATCTGATGGGTTTAAGGGATGTTGGGCCTTATGTAATTGAAATGCTTTAGAAAATTTTGTTCAAGACCATATCTGTGTTGTAAACAAGAAGTGTCTTTATGTTTGGTATCTTTTTCCTACAATAGCATAGTACTTCATAAGTGAACTAAATAGTAAGATTTTAATACCACCTTTTGCATTCTATAGCAATAGCTATGGAGTTTTCAAATCCTTCCTTAGTTTCTTTTAAGGCAAAAAGTGTCAGAGAAATGCTGAGTGTTTTACAGACAGTGTATGTGTCTAGCAAATAGTGTGACACAGAGGCTCTAGAGAACAAAGGAGTGAGTGCTGATGGTCCTGCATCCACTCTGAATGCAATTTGGTAGGTTGTACTTGCTTAGCTCATGTTGGTTGGTAGGCTCAATATCTTATTCGTGGTTGAAGAACATCAGATGTGTTGCTGCAACACAGTGTTCTGCTCAGCTTCATACAAAAGGAATCCAGTTCCATGTTCCAAGACTGTGGGGTGAAATGAAGCGTGGGAAGTGGGGATGGCTGCGAGATCTGCTTCAAAGGTGCTTCTCTAGATCTAAATTAAAATGCTATAGTAGATGCATCCAAATGATTACTGAGAGTTTATTGTTGTTTTATTTTGCATCTTTAACTTGCATATATTTGTTTTTCAGGTATATGAAGATGACAAAGGCGCAAGGGAAGTACTTATTAATGAAAAATAACAGGAAAATTCTTCTGATAAGCAGTCCACAGCTATTCGGAAAAGAGTAAGTGACCACTTAAATCAAGTATTAGGTTGCTCAGAATTAAATGACTTTAGGTTTTCACCTGGAAAAATTGGGCTTTTACAGTGCTTTTGACCACTAGGATTACCACAGGGGATCAATATGTGGAGTCATACCTACCTCAGAGTGGTAGCAATTGAACACTTGCCAGGTCTGAGCACAGTCATGCATCTCTACATCTGAGATAGTCGACACTGATGCACAGGAAGAATTCTCAGAGCACAAGCAACAATACAGCTCAAGTCCTGCTATGAGTTTACACTGGCATTTCTACTCCATAGATAGTTAATGAACATAATGGGCTTATCTTCTATCAATGTGACTCTGAGTGAGAGAGCAGCCGATTTATGTCCTGCCATGTTATCTTAGCTCATCCCTTACATAGCCAGCATGTTTTTTTGTGAAAGCATGTACAAAATCTCTTTATTCTATTCCTTGTCTAACCAGATGGTCATATAATATCACTTTGCTAATTAATTTGAATTTTGTGTCCAGATGAATAAGTGTAGTTTAAAAAATGATTGCATTTTCTTTTGTGCCCCTTCTGGCAACTGCTTTTAGAAAAATGACAAATGACTTGCACTTTCCTGATAACTACACTTTCTTCTAGTTTGACAGGAACATTAACTTATAGGGTAGTTCTGATGGTACTCCCTATTCTGTATTCCAACTGTCATGCGGAGAAGTATTTAAACTACAGATTCATTGTCAATACAGTCACAAAGTTGGTCAGACTGTGTTTTCTGTGTGAATTTCCATATTTTCTGTAGGTACTTCTCCTTAATCTGGAGTTTTGTTATATCAGTAAAATAGTCTAGCTCTAGGGAAGTCTGGTAGTATCTACTACCAACCTGATCCATGCTCAAGTATGACTACTGAAAAAATAGATTTAATGGATCCATTAAATAATTAAAATGTGAATCAAATTGCTCTGGCATCATTGAAACACCATCATCCATAAAAGCTAGCTAGTGAACATTCTTGTTACATGTTGAAAATATATCTGCTTTGAAAGCAGCTGGTAGAAGCTGGCTCCATTCCTGGAACTCTTTATTGAAAATCTCTTTAAGCTAGTGACAAATTTCTCTTTTCTTTCTGAGAGAGTGTTTTTTCAGTGGTAATAATTTTTGGCAAACTGCAAAAATTTGTCCAAAATTTATTTTTAAATTGCATTCAGGGCTCTATCCAAGCTCTGTGTAAACCAGTTTTCAATGTAATTTTTCAGTAGTTGTTTCAGTGTACTTCAGAATCAGGTGTTTATAGGAGTATTTAATTTAGCCAGGCCAAAATACTAACTTGTTACTCCAGCTGACAAAAAGCCCAAATAAACTGAGAACTGACATGTGAGACTTCCTATGTCAAGTATCACGAACAAAGTACACCGAATGAGATCTGTTGGGAGGGGAAAAATAATCTAATAAATGCATACTTTGATATTTGAAAGCAGCCTCTTGCTGAATTCAACAAATATGCAGTAACATCAGAAAAAAAAAAAAAGTAGCTGTTACTTTTAAAATACTCTGTTATGTCTTGTACTCTTGATTCCTTCCCCAGTGGTACTTTTAGTTTCATTCTTCTTGTCTCTTCGTTTTTGTTTATGGCTGAACATTTCTACCCAGTAGAGAACCAGAGACAGATTGATACAGTGTTTTTGTAAAATAGTTGATTAGTATTTCCAGAACTGTTCTAGTAAACAAAGGTTCTTCTGTTATATGACTGACTTACGTAGTATAATTTTATTTCTCTCAATTATTAAGAACTATTGAGAGTTTTACCACTAGTACTATCTTTATGTCCAAAGCTGACATAAGAACCACCTGTCCGAGGTGAAATTTCATTCACAGATGATGCCTTTTTAGACTTCAATAGCTAGTTCTTGATTAGGCTAATTCAAGAACTGCTTCAAGGGATTAGTCTGTGAAAATACATAACTATCAAAATTTTCCCAATCCAAAACTGTTTCTTTTCTGTCAGTATGTTTCACCATTGTTCAGTTTGTTTCTGTTCTTCACTTTGCAGCACAGTTTCCCCTATAACATTTTACTAAGACTTTCACTAGAGAAATTCTTAATCTTTGCCACTGTTATTATCAACTCTGCCCTATCAATTCTGGAAAAAGCGGAAGTCTATTCTTGCAAGTCAGGCTTGTTTTATGTAAATCTGCTCAAAATTGTATAGCATGACACACGACGTCATGTGCTAGATTGTTACTACTATTGATTGCCAACAGCAGCCGGGTTTGCTCAGAATTTTGCTCAGTCATTGCTGTATAAATCTCAATATCTACTGGTATGCAGTCCTTCCCTTGGAAAGATACCAGTCACTTTACAGCTTCTGTGTATTAAAGAATCCATGATATTATGATGTACTTAGCAGTATGTATTTGGGTTTTTTAACTTTGTTTTTCAAATTATGCCTGATTTGTTCTACTTTTGTCTGCTAGATTAAACATTCCTTTATATAGGGAGTCAATGCACCACTCAATATCAATGAAACCCACATTATTTGTAGATGAATTATCCCACATTTTACTGTAGGGATCTCTGGGGATGGAAACCCTTGTTTCTCTTGTTGAAACAAAAGGGATTGCTACCTATAAGCCCCTTTGTTCATGGAATCTGTGAGTTGATTAAAGTTCAAAAGAAAGATTATTTATTTATTTCCTCCACACATAAAAGGCACATAAAACAAGTTGTAAAAATAAAAAAAGACCCCTGTGATCTTATTTACACTTTGATCTTTTCCTGACGGCTTCTTGAAGTTCATGTCAGCTTCTTTACTATTCTGTATGTAGCATGCTCTATCTTTCCCTGTAAATTTCCTTGCTGGTGTATTTGCTTTTATTGACAAACCCTTGATTTCCTTTCACTGTTTGCACAAACTTGTCTTCATTTTTGTTAACATTTTAATGCTTACCATCTTCAATCCTACATTCACAGTGGAAAAAGTAAGCTTTGTCTAGCAGGGAGACAAGGAGGCATTTGTCAATCCAGTACTTCCTCTCATTGGGGATTTATTTATCCTCCCATATGTATCACTGGGAAATCTATTTCTCCCTCCTTTTCACCTATTTTCAGTCACCTTGTTCAGGAATACAATAATGAATTGGAGATGTCTCTGGAGGTTTAAGTGACCTGTTTGCTTGGCATTCTAGTCCTCTTCAGCTCAGGTGTCAGCTCCAATCTTGGTAAGCTACCTGCTAGAGTTAATGGAACATGGTTTCATGCCCAGCTCAGTCAAGGTCTGTAAGGGTTGCAGACCTCTGCCTGTCAGTGCTGGCTGATAAAGCTTCAGTGTTCTCATACTCAATAGTTTCAAAATTACAGAGAGATTTCTTAAGACCTCTGTATCTGTTACTGCTTAAATATGATGTTCAGGATTTTCATGGTCCCAATCTTTGGGCCTGTGGCCCCCACTGGAGATGTGAATCGTCTCAAATATTAGTGAAACAAATTCTAATTGAAGTCATCTTGATTAAGAGCATGGAAGAACTCTAGCTCTTGTGTTAGTGCTTTCTTATACAGATGGGTTATTTTGTTGTTTAGTACAGGGCATACCTATAGATACCATCTACATTTCTCTCCTGCTTGTTTCCTGACTTCATTTTTAACCCAGATAATGCTACTTGATTTTTCCCCTTAGCCTTGCATCTTTAAGAACTAATCTGTCAAAATCTTGATATGAGAAAGGGTATTTTTATGCCTTTCCTGTTTCTTGGTTTGTTGCTGAGACATCTGTAGGGATGGCTATCTCCATGTCAGAATGTGTTACAGAATGCATTAGAGACTGTTGTGGCTTCCTGAAGGGGGAACTTAAATGGTGTCAGGTAAGCTCAACTGGTGGAAAGATGAGAAAGGATGAGGCACGGATATGCCTAGTATGGGTGCTACATAGGCAAAAGCTCCTCGCTGTTTGATAATAAGATAGATTGGCTACCGTGACTGTCTCTGTATTTAATGTGACATAGATATTTCATTATTCCAATGTTTTAATGATAATCAGAATATTAAATTATATTTTATATGTTTATATAACATAATTTATACTCAATTGATACGTTGATATAAAATTAATATATCATTAATAATGTTTTTATCTATATATAAATTATTATGTAATAAATATTTTTGTATGGAAACTATAATTTTTGCAGTGAAATTCGTGCTACAATACTCCTTATTTAAGAGACTGTCTGGTTGTGTTTTCGTCTATGTTAATAGCAATGAAATACCTAATATAAAGCTAGTTGTCTAAACTGTGTTCTCAATGGAGAGGGAGACATAATGTTGCAAAGTGTCTTGTTTAATTCTAAAACCAGTGTGAATCACCCCAGGTAGGTGCTTATCTCGTCCAGATTATAGAAAAATCCTAGAGGACTAGCTTAGTTTAGACTAGGTGACTTAACTTTAAAAATCTCACTTCTTCTAAATGAGGCAAAAACTCCCCCTAAACTGTTGACTGAAATAGTTGCAGTGGTTACTGAAATTTAAGTTATCATGCCTCTATTCCTTCTGTAAATGGATGGAGGGAAATGAACTATACATAGTTTTTTATTTTATCTTCTCTATATATCTGGTATGTAAATTAGTGATTCAATGAAAGTTAGAAACATGTTTAGAGAAAAACTCAGATTTCCAATAATAAAATGCATTTTTTTCATATTGTTAGACTGTTGAACAAGCATATAAGATTAAGTGAACAATGAATACTACTTCAGTTATTAGGGTGTTATCTTTATCTTTCCATGAGTAATCATTAGATACTTCACAGATTTGAGCTGATTGATACTCATTAATTAGTAGGTATCAGAATACCAAGGGAATGGGTATAACAGTCTAGAAAACACTGTTTGGTGTCTAGTGTTCATTTCCAGTATTTAGCTTCCCACCATCACGCAGCTGGATTATTTAAAAATATGGAAGTTTATATAGCTATATATATATATGTGTATGTGTGTATATATCCTCCCCGTGTTCTTGAGC